TTCGCTCACCGCTCCAAATTGAATTATGTAGTCGTCTTATGATTGTTGGTCGGTTGACTACTAGATTTAATTGGTATCCCAAGTTCGATTTCTGTCGTTCCAGTACTTATCCATGTGGTATTCTACTGTTGTCAGCAAGAGTTAAAGCTTTTGCCGAAACAGTCCTTATTTGAAAATTTTATTCTTTCCTAGACAACCTACCTTAAGTGCGATCGTCAACAACGCCCTGTTTGAACACAGCACTTGCAGAGTCCTAACTTGCAACCAATCTTTCAAAGCTCCTTTTGGAATCTGGCAGGGTTTGTGAACAACCTGCACTTTATACTTGAGTGCAGGCTCATATCCCTATTTCCAGGCTTCTACCTGAGTCTCTGCCATTCGCAATTCAGCTTAAACCGGAATTTGGAATGCAAACCTATCTTGGGATGGACATTCGAATAACCCTGGAAACGAGCTCCGATGTGCACCCCACACTTTCCACGCCGGAAGGAGTTCTGCAGAAAAAGTCAAATGTCACTTGCCCAAAGGGATCGTGGACAGGGCTACATAATCTCATATGAAAAACCTCCTGAGGAGGAGTTGAATGAATGCCTTTGCCATGAACTGGACTTCGATTAGACTCTTTCTCTGCTGTGATTGTCTACAAGCATCTCGTTAATTGAAAACATATGTTCAGACAACTAAACATTGTCGTCTTTTGGGATAAAAAACGAGTTTTCTGACTCGTCTGCAGGGTTTGCTGCATTTTCTGCATCCCAATGTAATCATTTGACAGTGTTGCTTTGTCACTCTGTGCTGCTCTCAAAGACCTAGAAAGGATGATGATTTCCCATTGGACGTACGCAGAGTTATCCTTCCTAGGTCTTTGATTCGAGAAACCAGTCACGACTATGGCATCCATGAGTGCTAGCTATTCGGCCAAGCTGAAGCTCCACTTTTATAGTACCGATTGAAATATGCCATTGTCTATTTTATACATTTCCTAATTCTAAACAGCCACCAAATAGAGGTACACAACAGCTCTCAGGCCATTCATTCAAATATCCGCCGAAAATCTCATGTTAGCCCAAAGTTTTTTTTGGATTGTTTGGAAAGTTTTCATGGAGTTGCTACATAGGCACACTACCCTTATGTATGCGTACGTTACATAATCAGCTTACTTCTCTTTCTTTGACCCTGAAATAGCTCATATGTCTCCCAGTATTCGTTTCGAACTTCTTTGTGAGTTTGCATCAGGGTGTTCCGCTGTAAAAGCCCATTGTTTCAAGTAATTAACCTTGAAGCTCATTGTAAGTGGTCTTGTGCAATCCTCGTTCCAACGGTTATGAGCCGGAAACGAGAAGTTCAAAGATGAGCCTCTGTGTGGTCAGTCAACTGGGACATCATGAAATCCCGGATATTTATGCGTACATATAGTAGTGTGTATGCAGTTCCATCTCCATTGTTTTCGTAAAGATTACGGCGAATCCTGGAGAAAACCTAGCTGATACTTGTGGCATCAAGATAGGCGTTTTCCGGGCAACTTACTGGGTGCTCACTCTTGATGCGTGGGAGTTTTCCAAATCTGTTAAATGGTTGGAAAAGTTGTTGGAATGGTTGGAAACCCAAATTTACGAATTGAAGTCATTTCGTTTGTGTGGATGAAAATGAGCAGTTGTGAGCATCTGTTCGTCGATAAAAATCAGGACTCCATTATATTTTGAAGCCATTCCATTTATGATATTTGGTTCCTACTAGTTCTCATTTATCTCCCGAGAGAGTCCATGCTAAATGAATTTGTCCAGCTGAAAAAAAAAAGGAGCTGAAATGTACGGAACAACTGGATCATACGGAGCAGCAGAAGGATTGGCTTTCTTGAGAAACCGAATGCTTTCTTCATTTACAACCCCTAAAGACACCCCTGAGTCTCTGATAATAATAGACTATCCAGATTGGATTGGTGCCATCAGTAATTAGAAGCGATAGGGTTGTCAGAGTCCGTTGAGTAGTGGGCATGTAAGTAGGTAACTATGCTCACCTCATGGTTGAGCATCTGTTTTGTTTGAGAACACTTGGTCCGGGATCTTACCCGATCCCACGATTTCTACTGGTATTGAAGATGTATGGAACTTTGCTGTATCAAAAGGGGTCTTAATGAACTTCGGCTTCCCATGTATTCTCATTAGGGTTAAAAGATCTCAGCGATGCACTCAAAGACTCCCAGTGATCTTACTGGCATAACTCTCCACATTCTAAAAGAACGAGATAATTCCTTTCTGCCTTTCTCATGTTGAAACTATCATTGTTTTCCCACCTAAATTTCACTTAGGAAGCCATTTGTGTTTTGTTCGAAAGATTGGGCTCTTTTTCACATGCCTTATCGAAGGACAAATTTCTTTGAAACATTGATCATTCCCAATCTTTGCCTGATATAGAGTCTTATCAAAGAAACCCCATGAGATGAGGAGTGTGGCCTTCGTGATGGCACGCATGCACTTCAGCGACTACCACCGCGCAGAACACCTACAGCCATTTGAATCCTTCTCTATACAAATCTAATCGTCCTCTACTACGCAATTGTTATTGTTCTTTGACCAAATCACTCCTTTCACAAACTAGAGGGTCAGTTTTTGTGCAAATCTTCCTTAGTTACCGTTTTCATACAAACGGAGACCAGTTCATAGCGCTCTTGAAGAACTCTCTGGTGAAGCATTCCTGGAATAAATTTTTAATTCAAAACGGAACTAGTGCACCTCAAATAGATGCAGGTGATGGAGAGATCTCTAAGAATTAAATTGCGAAATAAACATTTCTAATAGCGACAGCATTCGGACCATATTAATGATTACACAAAGAATTCTCCAATCTCATTGTACTATCTTCTCAATATTCGCCGTCATCGTCCTTCAATAAATAGAGACAATCCCCTTTTCGGATTATTTCTACTAACTGACGTTTTTCAGCGTTATGTCCGACGTGAAGCGCTCATTGCTCGACATGAGTCCCGGAGGAAAAACTGAGGACGAAGACGAGCCGTCTGAAGACGATCCGATAGAGTCGAACGAAACTTTTGCCGAGTTCTGTTCTAGTGAGTTCCTCACACCTGCAAATTCTTCACAGCTGGCTCTTTCTTTCTATTGCAGAATTTGACCAAAAATGAAATCTCACCAATAGGCGAAATATAGTCTTCGGCATGTCACCGATGCCGATAGGGGAGTCGTTGACATGCCACAAAGTAAAAAAATTTGCTACTTCCACCGACCACATGACGGGAACGTTCCTGCCAAGTGATGGGCTTCATGTCCACCACTAAATTTCCAGTGATCCGCTACCTGTTTCTCAGAGGGTCCAAGTAAACGGGTAACGGGTAGACAACAGTTTGAGCGGTTAAAGTCAACGATCTGGTTGCAATCCGACCTTTCTCACTGCCCCACTGCACCTATGTAACCTAAATATTGTTAAAAAGCTTGATTATGTAGGTGCCAATTGATGTATCACCCTTGGTGTTATCGTCCACAGAGAATACATAGAAAAAAAAGGAGTACCCCCTCCTCCCCGTCCGTCCCTACCCTCAGAGTTTGAACAAAAAGATAACATCAGAAATCGAATAACAAGTGTACTGCAGGTAAAAACGATCAAAGGGAATCAAAGGCATTTAATTTTTTTTTCTTTCGTAAAAGCTAATTCGTATTGACCCTAACTAATCCACTGCCATCACACCACTGAAGGCAAGGTGTGGTGTAATGGTGTTTGTAACCGTGATTGGCCCATGCAACGAGTTGCGGTAACCAGCGGATGTCCAAGCCAGTGTTTTTACAGAGTGAGCGGCCCTGGAACTATATAGGCTTGAATGGCTTAGGGCCTACCACGGGTCGGCTCACAAGATCTTATCTCCAGACCATACTGTAGATGCGGCACTTGACATCCTACACCACATCCAACCAGGTGCTAAGGAGAGCAAAAGAGCTTAATTGATGTGTGTGGTTTCGTGTAGGCCGTACATTCTCAATCGAAATCTTATGCAGAAGGAATTCTACTCGTCTTCTAAGGAAAGCATATACACGTAGCAGTTTCCGAAGCTCTCAATCGAGTTGTTGTTCAGGCTCTTTTTTCGGGACTAATTACTCATTTGAACATCGGTAGCGTCCATCAAAAGTTGTACAATGAAGACAGGTAAAGGCAAAAGGGGTGCGCCTCGTTGCGCGTGTCCGTCGGAACTAGGTCATGCCGCAGTTGTCGCATGCAGTGGGTCAGCCCGCGACACTTGACAGACGTCGCAGTCGTCAATAAAGCACACGATTTGCGCTTGGTCCACGGCAGTCAGAAAGAGAAGATAACACAGACAAATGCAAATCTTTCGCTCCACTGACACTTGATCGTACTGTAATGTCACCTTGAGACCACAGTGGGGTGCTCCGCGCGCGAGTTGGGAGGAGTGACCTACTTTCGACGGACGCGCGCAAGGACGTTCTCTAGGCAAAAGCCAAACACACGAAGAGAAACCAAAAAAGACGAGTTCAGCCGTAACCGGCTGATTCCATGCCTTCTTTCCTCCATTGAAAAAAAAGAGGTGAATCGGAAAAAACTCCCTCACATCCTCAAGATCCGTCCAGTAAAGCAACATAGTGATTACTTATCGTGAAACGGTAGTGGAGGTGCAGCTGAAAAGGAAAAGAACCCTGGGTCCGTAATGGTTTATGGTAGGAATACCCGGCGCTTCTAGCGGTTGCCACTTCACGACTATACTGTGTCGGAGAGGGTAGTGATCCTTATACCCGAGCGATTTTTCTAGAGGTAAGCCTGGCATCCAGCTTCCATTTAGAGCCATTATAAGGGCCAAATTGATTATAGAATAATGTCCCAGATGGCATTATATACGTGTGTCGCACGCCAGCAGTTTCCTAAAAAACTGTATTCTTTTATAAATGGAATTCTTTATTTCTAGAACGATGCGTTATCTGCTTATAGTACACGACGGGCGGTGGTTGTTGCACCTTGCAGTGGCAAACTTCGCACACTACCACACACATAGTCGAATGTCGAGTCCCTCCCAAGCAAACAGGCCTTCTTCCTACCGGAGTCGTTTAATAAGTTCCAGACTCGTCTGGGAGAACAAAACGCTTACTTACACTTTGGCTGACCACAGCAATTCATTGCGTAGGCCAGACATGCCTTCAAAACATCGCTACGATTCTGAAAGGACGTCGCGTGCAAGGGCGCATCCCAGGAGCGCGGTCGCTTAAGTCGAAAGGTTTCACCTTCATGCTAAACAAGAGGCGTACATGTATACGCACTCTCAGAATTATGATAAAGTCAGCAGTCATTTGAGCTGTGTGAGGTCATCCTACAATGAATGCCGTTGTAATGATGAAAAATAATTTTTTATATTGGTTTTTTATATTCATATATATGAGTAGGAATTTTCCGCCAATCTCTCTCTAATCGGGTTGAAGGTAATATTACTCTGGTATAAAAACTTGTAATTTTTTTATACGTCTTTGAGTTTTTACTGGTGCTGGAGCCCTGTAGACTCATTCATGCTAACGTGCGTGATATGATTGCATGTACATGGTCACTACATGTCGGCATAGCGAAAAACTTGTACTTAAGTATAACTCGGTTTCCTGAAGCTGAGGGAAGGAGATAGGTGCAGGGCTGGGTAGGATGGCTCGGAAGGGACAGATGAACATTAAGAATGTGATATGCTGTTCAATTAGAGAAGGACCAACCCGTAGTCAATTGATGAACTACCGGTAGTTTCAATTGATGAGCGCTGCATTAGGAAAGTATTAGGTTGAGTCATAAGTCCTCGGACAAATTGGCAATGATAATATTTATCTTACAATTTTTAAACGACAGTAGCGAATCGTTTGAAATATGTCCCATTGGCATCGATGGTCTTCTGCCAAGGCTTGGGCAGATCGTAGATGCCCTTGCTCTAGAACGCTGGGAGCTGGCCCTTGGAAAACTGCTCCAGTGCCATTTTGATGTCTTCGCGGGTTTGAAACTCTTGACTATCCAGATGATGTTGAAGATAGGGAAAAAGGTGGTAATCCGAGGGATTCAATTCCGAGGAACATGGTTGGTGTGGAAAACTTGTCCTGCCGAAATTCGTCACTTCAGTTTTGGTCGTTCTTGCAATGTGAAGGCGAGCGTTGTCGTGCTGGAAGTAACGTATAATCCGATTAATGAAGATACAGTTTGCTACGTGGGCGGGGTGATGTAGTGGCAAGTGGTGCACTACACACATGCATGGCCATTGGATCGGACCCTGGCTCAGCATTCGCTTAGGCCAACCAAGCCTTCCATCCCTCTGGGGTTGGTTAGTTGGTACAAGATTTGCCTGGGAGGAAAAAAGAGGATAAAATAAAATTTGGCGTAGCTCTCAGAAGGTACTGAATAACGCCTCGAGCTCTTCTTTTATCTACAATTTGGTGTGTCTGCTCCCTTAGGCAAGTCTTCTTGTCCACAAATATAAACGTTTGATGGCGAGGGTGTAAAAAAAATCCACAGGAAAGCTGAAATTGGGAAGACACCGTAGTGCTTGGTCGTAGGGGTTAAGAAAGCAGAGAGGAGGGCGAATGCATGACCATCGTTTGAGAACGTTTCTAGAACCTAAACGATTGAAGCCTAACGGGTTCTGTGTCGTAAGTTAGAAGAGACTCGGGAAGGAGTAAAGATGCTGTTCTGGGATGAGAGTGCTAATAAGACGTAGAAAAGATGGCCTCAAAAGTAGGGCAGAAAATGACGGAAAGGAATCTCATCATCTGAACATTCGACGTCAAATGTAGGATGTAATAGTTTTAGTGATTTCCACCAGTTCACTGTGTCGTGAGAGTTCAGATTCGGATTGAATTCTATTTTTTATAAAGAGATTATAATTCTCACTGAAAATCTAGTGGATCCTAAGTGGAGAACTTCATTTCCAGTGCTAAAAAATATCAAGGTGCTGAGCGTTTTGATGCATCGAAGGAGCTAACCAAGGGTTGAAAAGACAGCCAGAATAGGTACATGAAAATGAAAGGATGAATCAACTGCAGACTGTAATCGCCTAGAAGAAGCTTCTTGGGCTCCCGGAAGGATAGGGTGTCAAAAAGGATATGGTGGGTGCTAGTGGAACACGGGATATAGAGGGCAGTTCGCTTCTAGATTAGGTCGTGATTACAAGTAGAGCATGGAAGAATAGTATCTCATCAGTCAGCACAAGTTGAAAAAGAATCTACTGCGGATTGAAGGATTGCAGCTTATTTTCGCCATTTCCTACTAGCCGTTCGGTTCATTTCATACTTGAAGATCTACCACAGATGTCCTTTTTCTCGCCAGGAGGTAAGTGATGTAGAGACTACAAATAGAAGCTAAGCTATGCTCCCAAGGGTTCTAGAATCTGCAAAATTCTTGTAACTGATGGATTCACACTATAACGAAACATCCAAGAACTTTGTGATTAGCCAACAACGGACACCACATGAACATGAAGGAACGGCAAATCTTCTTTGAAGAAGTGAGCTCGAAGTCATTTAAGGATGGTACGGCAGGTCGTTGAGTGAGTAGAAGTTCTCTCAGTTGCAAATGCAATTCGATATTGTGAGTCAGCAGGAAATGAGCAAAAGAGGATCTGCAAGTGCTTGTTGCTTCTGCACTGTTCAAGGAAACTCCAATGAAAATAACTTTGCAGCAGTAGTGAAACGGACTATCTACCCAGCGATCAAACAGGCGAGGCACGAGATAATCTGAAGACATCTTCTCTCCTCCAAATTCACCTCTGGGAGGTTCACTTTTAAGACTTTACGCGCACGCACTATGAGCGCTAAACCACAATGGTATGCGGATCCGTGAAGGTACGACCTTAGAAGGATTTGAAGATGGGGAAGGGGGAACGTCTCCAAGAAGAATTTTGTGAAGATTAGCACAAAGCAGAAAACACCCAGAACACGAAGACATGGCAACTTTAATGGGATTAGCGAAACCTCGCGAAAGGAGACTGGAGCAGAAAAAGGCGAACATGCCTGCGTCCAGGACGCCACTGATCCCTGCTCCATCTTCACCACTTAAAAGAGGTAAAGGACCCCAATTTTCGAATATATCTAAGCTCAAATTTGGTGCTCTGTTCTCTTTGTTCTGCTAGCACGTGGCGACAACGATAAGTATGAAAATAAAATCGATGCATTCGATGTCCACTCAATTCCTTCCATTGAAATGGTTCCTTCAGAGTCGCTGTATTTTGTCCTATTAGCGGATTTCTCAGATGCTATTCTTTTTACTTCAGTAGCCATTTTTAAATCTTCCAGTCCACGAAATAGAGAAGACTTGAAAAAGCTCTCATTACAGGACAAGCTCGGAATGTGGTGCATTTTTTGGTGGAGGATTGGTGTCTGTCAGCATTACTTGGTGTCATCACAGCAGTGCTTTCTGTAGGAATGGACGTCGCCATCGAAATTCTACAGCACGGTATCATTCGTTATCATCTGATATCATTCGTTTTGTCTACTGAAGCTAAAGGGTATGAATTGAAAAGTAATTTGTCTCACTGAAGTACCATTACGTTTGCTTGCTCTGTACTTCGTGAAAATGACGCACGACACTTTTTTTGAGAAAATGTAAATATTAAGGCTGAATGAAGTTTCTCGTTGCGCTCTGAATTTTAAGAGGACAATGAGAACAATTTTGAAGAAGAAGCAAATGGGGACGAATTCAAAAGTTATATTCTTGTTATGAAACCCGGCCTCGCTTTCGGCCGAGGCTTCCCCAACCATTTCTCTCCACCCAGGGCGTATTTTTTTGATCCATCTACCTTGTCAGAACCTTTTCACTCTTCCTAAAACTCCCACATATTTCGGTGCTTGTCATTTGCGTTCTCCCTCAGTAAACATCAAGTGCTGTGCCAGAAATGAAGTGGTACCATGGGAAAAACCCCTTGCTGATATTTTATTTCTTATTCCGGAGACATCGATATTTGAATTACTGCGTTCTGAGATCCTTCACTTTCTTGTAACTCTGCACAACTTTCTAGCAGCGACCTTCAAGTCCCCTTCGACGTTTCCATTCCGGCAAAAGACTAACGATTGTTCAGTGCAGCACAAAATACTTCCAAAAGTCCTCAAAGAAAAAGTTCATTGCTATCTGTCTGCGTAGTTTTATGACTTTTCAAACAGTTATATATGATCGGTAGCCCTTTATAGCTACTTTTGATCAGTTTTCCTATCAGATTAATTGCAGCATTTTTCGAATGGATCGTTAAAATGGTTTTGTCAGATGACTTGAAATACCAAATCATTTTGGAAACATCGAAATTCTCAGGAGCAAAGCCATCAGTTTCACCTTCCAGACATTGCTCCTACTAAGTTTTCCTGTAATGCCTGTCCGCCTTTCAGTAGCTTCGTTTATTCAAATGTTATTCCTCCGAGGGAACAATCTGCAATACAGTCACTTTTTTGCATCCACATGCTATGCAATGATCGATGCTCTTCTCTCAAAAAGGGCGGTTTCTGTGATCGAACATCTCGGAGGTTTCGCTCGTAGAAAAGAGATAAAGTCCTAATATCCCATGTCCACTTCCCACTCGTCCCCCATCACTGTTGCTTCATGGTGCCGGAGTGGTGAAACCTTGATCCAGGAGTCACTGGCAGAATTATCATTTGGAAATACGCAGTCGTCCAGCCTGATTCGTACAGATTGTAGCAGTCGATATAAGGCTATGATCTCCGTCCTAGAAAAGATAATCACAAAGTCGCTTCAAATGCTTTCCTCGGACTGCTGCAGCAAACTTCCGAAGCTTTCCTTGGGGGACTACTTCAACGAATGCCCTCACGTAACTGAACCCCAGTACAATCAACCAAATCTGCAGCCTCAGGAAAGGATTAATGGATGTTCTCAGCTTTCTGAGGTTGACAGGTCATGCTGTTTCAGAGACAGTTTCAGAGTCTCTGAAAAACAACATGACCTGTCAATCTCAGAAAGCTGAGAACGTTCATTGATCCCTTCCTGAGGCTACGGTTTTGGTTGATGGGTCTCAGCCGCACGACATCCTGAATTCTTTTGCGTGGTGCTCTAAGATTTATTTCATAGGTCATTTGGACATGTCAAGTAAATCGGCTTGAGGAAACTATATCTATACGGTCGCAAATGGACAGCTGTCCTATTTATCAAGAAGTCAATTTAAGATGGCTCATTTTTTCTGAAATAGCCACTGATATTGCTACGAATTCATTTATGAGTGCGAGCTCACAGATTACTTTTGCAAAACGGCTGAATCACCGACATCGAATTGTAGAAATGAATCGAAGCAGTTCACGATAAAAAAGGTTTCTAAGATGTCCCCATTGTATTGATTCGAAAACCCCCTTACGCCTACCGTTTTTACCTGCCTCTAAAAGGTCGGAAAACGTCCTGGAAGGGCTTAACTGGCGGTCAGGGACATGAGTGAATATTACACCCATTGTGTAAGAGATTCAACGACTTTGTAGAGGTTGCAAGTTCTCAAGGGACTCTCATGTAAGTAGTGAAACAACTTGTCATAACCCATAGTGGCAGTGGAAGGCAGTTCTGTACATTTCTGGCTTGATGTGGTCAGTTCTTTAGGCAACGAGAGTATGAAAATTCGTCCTCCTTACATGCGCTTCCCGTCATGGCGATCTCGTACAACCTCCATTTACACTACTTTTATGAAGCCTTGTTTTTCTCTAAGTTAGCGGTTTTTTGCAGTTTTTCGCCACCGATGAACTATCCTCTACAAACACTTCCGGTTTTCTACTTAAAAGGGTACCTCAAAACTATCGTGAACTGTGTCTTTAATCAGCTACGGCTTTCCCTGTCCTCCTTACTATAACTTCCAGCTTACATTCTCGAAGCATAATCTGATGTGATTGGTACTACTCTAATCTAATTTACCCTCAATCTCAGAAAGCTGAGAACGTCCATTAATCCCATCCTGATGCTACGGTTTTGGTTGGTCTGTGGACCAGTCCTCCACGGGCACCCCCTTCCAATTGACGCCCCTAAACATCCTTCGGAATGACAGCGCTTTTTGCATGAAAAGGATTTAATTATGGACTTAAATGCATAGGAATTTTAGGACTTACGGGATATTATACATAGTTATACACTTTCAGCCCATGTCGTGTTCTACGATGTGTTCGAGCAAATATCAAGCACTCTGGCTTTTTTCTCATGGATATCTCATGTTGTAATTCTAACAGCCCTTTCAGCCGTTTTCTGCCAGGTCGTCTCCAAACATGCAGTTGGTAAGCTTTGAGGCACACCTGTGCTAGACTTCTTGCCTATGATTCATATCATGATTTCAGGGTCGGGAATTCCTGAAGTGAAGGTAATCATGCATGGTTTCAAAATGGACGATTATCTTACGTGTCGCACTCTAATCGCTAAGATGGTCGGCTTGACATTGGCTATGGGTGGAGGGCTTCCAATAGGTAAAGAGGTCAGTTCCACAACCATGCGACATTCGATAGAGGCTTTTCCCTTTTTTACGCTCCATTGAAGGTCCCCCATCTTTCAGGGCCCCTTCGTGCATATTGGAGCAATCGTGGCCACGTTGCTGTCGAAAATCACCGCTTCCTGTCAGTATTCGGCCTTCTTCTCGAACGAAGGTCGAGAGATGGAAATGCTGAGCAGCGGCTGTGCTGTCGGGATCGCTTGCACGTTTTCGGCGCCCATCGGTGGTGAGGAAGTATTCCGTTCTAATGGGAAACTTCAAAGCTCGTACGCAGTGTTCCCTACAATTCTCCCTGCCACACGACATATGTAGTATTTTAATTTTCTGATATTTCTGTAAACATTACCTGTCTTCTAGTAATCACTATTCCTGGCAAATCAGTGCTATAGTGGAGATATGCAAAATATATTCCAGCTGAAGGGAATCATTGTGAACGCATGTTCCTTTTGAAACGTAGTGATGACGAAGAGCTATGATAATGAGCTGTACTGTCGTTTAAGCTGTTCCATTGTTCTCCAATATGCTGTCCTCAGAAATATCGGCTTTCAAAGTAAGGGAGTGTAACCTGTGACCCCCCCCCTCCCCTTGAAATCTGTTTTTTACCCTTGCAACCGTTTTTTACCCTACTGGCACTACTGTGCCAGTATCGGTTGCATGGGTAAAAAACAGATTTGAACGGGAGGAGAGGGGATCACAAGTGGCTATCCTCGGTATACGATCCCCGAGGATAGCCAGATCACAAATGGTGTGGGTTCTGAAGTTGATTCCTGGTATTCCTAGTTGATACGCTCGACATAGAAGATTTGTCTTTATGTAGCTTCAGAATTACTCTGAACCCTTTTTTCAGCTGTACTGTATGCCATCGAATCGACATCAAAGTACTTTGCTGTGAAGAATTACTGGAGAGGTTTTCTGGCTGCCACTTGCTCAGCGATCATTTTTCGATTCGCCAACTTCTTCGTCACAGCAGAACAATCTGGTCCGTCTGCTGTTTTAGTAATTCAATTTTAAATTATGTATATACAAGTTTATGTAAAACCTTATTGAATTCTGAGCTCTCTTGCGAAATGTGATGATTGCACACCGTTCTACAGGGGACGTTAACACATGGCAGAGAATGGCCACAGAACCGTCCTAATGTTGCGACCTACCCCATCGCCCCAATAAAATTTGCTTTTCACGTGAACTTTCGGTGAGGAACTGGACATTCCTTGTTTTAGCTCCCACAGGGAATTTTAGTCTGCCCCTGTGCTGCCTTTGTATCCTCCTTCAAGAATCCAGCCATTAATTCCGATCACTTCTACATCCGACATCACACTTCTCTGCCACGTGTCAACAGGGTCTGCAACAGGGTCTTTCGGTTAATTCAGAAAAATAATGTGGTAAATATTTGTTCTCGTTTTATTTCAGGAACGATCACGGCCTTCTATCAGACTCGATTTCCCACTGACGCCTTCCTTATCGAAGAGTTGCCTGTGTTCATGCTGTTGGGGTGAGTGTTTTTCAATGAGGACACGTTCCCTGATGAACTACGCTACTGCTGTTGTCCAACGATGGGTACGTCTGTGGCCTGGAGGATGAAATATGTACAGCGTTGACGCCTAGAGTGGCCGCTTGTCAAGGATACAGTAAAGGCTCCAAAATCGTTCGGGACGCCACTGTGAATATGGGCGGTCATTAAGGGTGTCGTCCAACATCCTTCGGAAGACGGCACTGTGTGGCGGATATCGTATAGATGTTCTGACGACTTACTTTCAACGTGCTCAGCAACGACCGGAATCTTGCACAGAAGTTCCCTTTTGTCGCCTGAAACTTGTACAAATTCAAAAAAGAGCTGCTGTACGGGAGGAGACCGGTTTTTCGAATTTCTCCCTGTATAGCAGCTATTGTTCACCGATAAATGTTTCATTCCTCATCCTTTTGAACCCATTTTACCATGCATTGGAGAATCGAGCCTTCGAGGATCGGATCATCCACTTGTTTTCAGTTTCATTTCTTCTTCACAACAATTATTGAAGCTGATTCTTCTCAGGTTCATCAGCGGCATGATGGGTGCAATCTTCATTCTCACACATCGACAAATATCCATGTTCCGACAACGAAATCGCATTTTTAAAATGATCTTCAGAAACAAGTACGTCTTTCATTAAAAAACGACATTTTATACGAATGGAAGCTATTCTGTAGTTTTTTTTTGATTGTTTTACTGAGTTATTACTGTTAATTCCCCATAGGGTTGTAATGGCCAGATCCGACTTTTCTGTCTGCATCTAACGACCCAAAGTGGCTCGACCCTTCTCTGGCGACTAAACTGAGGAAGATGTCTGTGTAACCTCAAAGTCTAGCAGTATCTCCTGCAGCGATGGGGTTCAACAAGCTTTTGACCATTACCAGTGAGCGGTGCTTTAAGAAGACATGTTGCTGATAATTTCAGCCCCTACCACCCTTTTGCCACCCGTAGAAGACGATGGCACGAAAATGGTGTTGCCAATCACTGACGATAATGTTGCGAAAGCCCAATTGCGTGCCCTTGTTTGCTCATGTGTTGATTGCTTAGAGTATATTCTCGAATACTGCCACCTTTGCTAATGTGTTCGCATTGTTTATTCAAATTCTTTAGATTTATTTTCTGGACTAAAGTTAACGGATTGAGGAATTCATGTCACTCTGGGGATGAAAATGGTGTAGTGCAAGTGGCGAACTATCATACAAGTATGGCCCTGGGATCAGATCTCTTACCAGTGTCTGGCAAAGCCAATCAATCGCTTTATCACTCCGGGGTCGGCTAATTGGTATCAGACTTGTCTGGGAGTTTCAAAGCTTAGACTTGAATATCTGAAAGATCAGTGTTTGGGCCTCTACTTGGGATGGGATGGGAATTCGTACTCGGGAGACGAACACGTGAACCCCCTTCCATGATCCAACCTTTTTCTTCTTACTTAGCATACATGGTATGTGCGAGTTTTGTCACACCCACGCTCCCACAAAAAAAGAAGACAGATTACAAATCTAATTTGATTTACTTTTTATTTATTTAGAACTTCCTTTTTTGACAGACACATGCCACTGTCCACTAACAGATGACAGTTTAGCTTTCTCACGTTCACAGTGTTTATGGCTCTGGTCGTTGGACTTCTCACGTACCCAAATGGTTTGGGTCGATTCATAGCTGGCAAGGTAGGACACATTTGAGTTTTGAAGCGTTAGTAACTGTACGAATTTCTTAGCTCCTGGTGGATCTCTCGATAACCTCAGAGAAGAAGGCCGTTGTATGAGGTTTTGAATAGAAAGGAATCAAGTCATCTGCCTCTGAATGTTCATCATCGTCGTCGGCGTTTGGACAGGGTTACTCATAGCGGATGTTTTAGGACTAAAAAAATCCTTCGGCTCACATCCCGTTCGCCTGAGAGGCGTAAAAAAGCTTTAAGGCACACTTCACAAGTCGTTCGTCCGACTATGTCCCTTGTACTATCTTTGGAGGCCACAGGTTCATCGAAGCATAAATCCCAAAGCCAGTTTTATCTTGAACTGTGCCTTTATTGAAGGCAAGAGTTTCACAACGTCTACCCCCAGATTGATTTAAGAGAATGAGCAAGTGAAATGACCTTTTTCCTCTACGCTCTGAAAGTCTCTATACTTGGTTTAGCTGACCTTCCGTGAGACGATGGCCGACTTCTTCAACAACTGTACCTGGTACACCAATGAAACATCGAAGATGTGAGTGAAATTTCGCACGTGCTGAAATACAAGTTTTTTTTTTGCTTTTTTTTTGAATTTTTGACACTTGAAGCGGGCTTGTTTGGGATAGAAAAATGACCATAATTATTGCATTGCCCAAGATAGACACTTTACATCATCAAGGAGGAAGTCAGAGGGGATGGATTATTTACGACCATACCAATGGCCTTACATAAAATGACCAAAATGTGTACGGATCTGAACGGGTGTCGCAGTTTGAGGCTAGTTTTTTAGTTGCTTTCCGAGCATTTATTTTATTATATATGCTTCTCTCCTCTCTTCTCTCTTCTCAGTATGCTTCTCATTATTTTAGCATGGGTGTTATCCTGTGCAATAAGCAATTAGAATTACAATATAGTAACATAATAGAGCCTTGAAAGAACCTTATCAACCTAGGAGTCTTATGACGTGAATCACAGTCAATAATTTCTCGTCGACTCTTCCTTTTCCCCTCTCTTCGACTTCCATTTACAATCGTAGGAGCGAATTGATTGCTGATGATGCCTGTACAGTGACATAGTAATCAAATGCTTTATCCCCACAGATGTATATAGCACCAATTGAACAACCCGGAAGGAACAAATGGTTGATTGACCTGGCGGGCACCGGTCCCGGATTCTATCCATCGGCTATGGGCGTGTGATGGCGCGCCAACACCCGTGCCCCAAGAGGCGTAAAACGACATTTAAAGATCAAGACGTCTTCCACTTCCGGCGAGCAGCGTTGAACTGACCAAAGCTCGTAGATCCACTGCTAATTACCAGTGGATCTGTGAGCAATCAAGACAATAATAATGTGTTAAGCAATGAGTTAAAAAGAGCATCCATCAGATAGCTCTTCCTGAATGTCCAACCTTTTCAGGTGTCCCGAGCAACTACTACGGCACTGGACAGATAACGGAGCTGTTCACATATTTACCTCTCTCACCTCTTACTACATTGTTTATGTATGTCGTTCTTGATGCAAACAGTGCCCTTACACTTTGACTTATCCTCTTTTCAGTTTCTACTCGTCGCCGTCTGTATTTCCATCAATGTGCCTGCAGGCGTGTTTGTGCCATCGTTCGTTATTGGAGCTGCCGGTGGCCGGCTCGGTTGGTCCATTGCCACTTTCTCCCGAAGAAATTTCCGTATGCATTAGGAATAAGTGAAGTTTCATGAAAGTTCCCCGAGTAAAGAATGTGGAAAAAGCGGGGGTGGGCAAATTATGGCTGGTCGGTGATAAACTTTTTCTTCTGAATATTTTATTGCTACTGTGTTTAGTATTACTCATTTTATATTTTCAGTGGGCGAGATTATGGTATTCTTCTTCCCGGAGGGCATGCGAGGTCCTGGTGGGCCTCCAATCTATCCAGGACTTTACGCTGTCGTAGGCAAGTTTGTTATATGCACCAACACATTCCGGCTGTTATATGCACCAGCACACTGCGAAAAAGGCTCAGAAGGAAATTTCAGGAGCAGCAGCATACACAGGAGCCGTAACTCATACTCTTTCGGTAGCTGTGATTATTTGCGAACTCACTGGGCAACTGGCTCCGATTCTACCAGTCTTGGTTGGTTTTTTATGTCACTCAAAGGAAAGTTCTTAATTAATGGAAGATGACATGGAGCGACTTTCTTCCTCTGTGCCATGGGAGTCCTTACATTACATGTTTTGCTGATGGGACTGTAGAAGGTTTCCTTGTCATGGGAAAGCATCCTAGTGTCTTTTGCCGACTCAAAGCGACAGCGAAAAGTCTTGTTCAGAAGAGAAATAGGCCAATGCCTATCTTTTATGACCGCTTGAGCTAATCCGAAAAGAAAAGGTGATGAGGATGAGGGCATGCCAGAGAGTAATGTAATAAAGGATTTCTCGTTCCGCCTCATAACCGAGCAAAACACCTTCACCACCGTCATCCAAGGCTCAAACATCGTTTCGTGTGGGTCGAAAAAAGGTTGTGGGTGAAAGTATGTTTCTCAGTATAAGAAATTCTTGGCCGAGGTTTGAGGTAATTTCTTCAAATTAGACTTCAAATACATCAATAGAGCAGAGCAAACGGCATGGTGAAATGAGAGAAATAGGACAGAGTGGTGAGGCCGGGGGTAAGGGGTGGGGGGCTGTTTTAAATTATCGGAGGCAGTTCTGATAACTTGCTAATGATCCACTTCATAATCCCTTTTGCAATCCATCGATGGCTTTAGCATTATCTGAGAATCTTGTAACGGAAGAACTTCTTTTTATGTGAACCCGTCTGTCTGGGCACTTCTCTTTCTCTTCTATTTGGGCCCGCTTTTTAAAGCGGTTTGAAGTAGAAAAGGAAGGAGGAAGTAGACAGTAGCAATTGCATTTTGATAAGTAGTTTGTGTAAAGGAATGTGCTGATAAAGCGATTTTAGATTGCAATGCTGATGGGCAACGCCATATGCAAATTCCTACAGCCGTCAATCTATGAGAGTATTATTCGAATAAAGAAATACCCGTACTTGCCTGATTTGCCTCCATCAAGAATCAGGTAGGAAAAGTGATAGGGATGGCTGTATGAGTATGAAGCCCGTGTTTTTTCAGTGTGCATACGGTAAAGGTTGAGCAGGTGATGGTTTGTGATGTCATCTATATCACGAAGGACATGACGTATCGGGAGATGAAGGAAATCCTTCAAATGGCCCCCCATCTGCGGAGTTTCCCCGTTGTCACCGATCATGGTGAGTTTGCCGCTCCCTTCAATAGCTTGGTTCATAACATCAAACTTTTGCAATTTTCATAAAAATCAATTCATTTTTTTTTGCTTATTTTGGTATCGGCGACACCACAATTGGCGGCATCTCGTCTACGTATAAAAATCGTTTCGTGCCGTACTCATAGAGGGCTAAAAGGGCGGTTGTGATAAGTGCTACGTGTCTCACTTTTGTGCACGTGGTGAAAGAAGCTAACTTCGGTTTGATAACTGCTCGGGTATCCCTTTTTAGTCGAAAAGCGGAAGTGTAGGGTGGGATTAGTTCGTCGGTAGTGAAGAAAGCGAGAAAAT